CAAATAGCAAACACAATTCCTGAATAAATGCCAGAAAAATCTCCAACATTAACTATATAACTACCAGATATCATAATGCCACTAAAACGTAATACTAAATAAATAAAATGAAATAATATGTCATTATGAAATAATTTACCTGAGAGCAACTCCGACAGTTAAAAGACCAACAGCTAAATATCGTCGTGTACAATTTAAAAATGATATTATCAATAAACAAATAGCTGGTGATATTGTACCTATAATGATAAAAAATGAAAGTAAGAGTAAAAATACTTTTGTCGTGTATTTTATAGCCATTTACCAATTGCATGAAAGAGTTTTCGTGCTGTAATGGCACGCACAATTTCTCGATGAACAATATAATCAGCTACATAACCAGTTGATAATACAAATATTAGTGACCCAAGTTGCGGTAATGCCGAGAAAAAACCATCCTAGAAAACCAATGTACTGTTGTTGTCGTACCCATCAATTAAATATAGGTAAGATTTTCATCGAACATACCCGCATCTGAAAATGTTTACTGCATACTCGTTTAGCTACGGTAACCGTTAGATGTTGTAAACTTAAACTGAAAATGTCACACCATTTTTGTAAAACTGTTTTGTCAACGGATAAACGAAAGAAATGAAACCTTCCTCCGGTCTCTACACGTCTGTGTATGTTAAGTATGTGTTTTTTTATACGAAAGATGACAAAAGGCAATCAGAATAAGGTCAAACGAAAAAAAGATACATGGTGCTCTCCAGAACCTCCTAGAAATCCGCATGAAACCTTTTCAGAGTTTGCCAATTATCAATCTTGTTCAGCTGTTCGCGCTCTTTTGAATGGTGCATTGAAAAAGTTTTCGATGCCTTTCCGAATCCCAGTATTTTTAAAGTAAAATGTTTAAATTTTAAATTGTAAAACTTGAATTAAAATTAAAATATTGACGCTGAAAGTAGGTACGCTTCCGTTTCGATTATAACTGAAACCGAAATAACCGAACATAGGTTACTTCAGTTTCGGTTAAAACCGATGGTCGATTTTTAGTTAATAACCGAAACTGATACATTAAAAATTTTTCCGGTTATAACCGATGTCCGGTTATTTTGGTTTCGTTTATAACCGAAACATCGGTTAACCGCACTGATGCATACCTATCTGGAAAGCCGTTTTCTCTTGCAACATGTAGTCTATACAATTCTGCATCGAATACTGTATTTGAACGTCAATTTAAGAGAACGAGTTTCTGGAGAAAAATTATTTTGTTCGAACACCATAAGGAAGGAATCACTGGTTTCTGGAAACCCTACATGTGAATATTTTTCTGAATCCATAGAAAGAGCGCTTTTCAAAAGCCTTATGTTTAAAAACGGTTTCTTTTTGATTGAGCCGTTATGGAGATAATATACACGAACTTTCTAATCTAATACGCCTACTGCATTAAAAAAGGAATGAAGTGTCAAATCGAAAAATGGATTTTTTTTGAGAATAAGCTGACGCCATAAGTTAGCAACTGCTAGTGAGAAATGCTGCTTCATCAAGCCTAAACAAAGATTCAGTTCGCATGATCACCTTTCGGCCGTAAAAGGTTAAGCAATACTCTCATTATTCTTTTACGCACTTGTTCAATATTAAATAATAAGACTTCATTCATATAGGCTGGTACAACTGTCCACATTGCGTATACACCAAAATCAGAAAATATCATAGCAATCATGACTGCCCAAAATCCTTTTGATTTTAACATAGGCCCCCATGGTATTTTCTAAATTGCAGAAAGAAAAACATATGTATATTCGAAAAGATACTAGTCTTTATCTCTTCTTTGATCTATTTCGAAAATGGAGCAGAACAACGTACAGAAGGACCAGAAATTTCATTAGAAATACACAATCGGAAAAGAAAATTGATCTATTTTCACCGTCGTGTAAGTTTATATAATTTGACTTTTTATGGTTTTACTGAGTTAAGTTACAATCGAGCCCAAAGATTTAACAGCGATACCTCAGGTCCTGTCTCAGATCTTAAACGTTTTTACCAAACCTATGTTTTCCTTTTCGCTGATGTTTCCAGATAGGATCTAAGGTGCTCAGAAAGCAGACTTTCCATGCAATTTATTTTCAGCTTTTTATCCCCATTCGATAGAGGGCATCGAGCTGATCACGAATATGTGTTCTTCGTTCTTTTTGGAAACTTTTTCCGGGTCGAGAAGCTCGAAATAGCCGACAGATATCAAAAACTCAAGAACAACAAGGTATCAGAGAATGGCCATCATTTTTTTGCGTTGTATTTTCAAGAGTCGAGCTAAAGTTTTTGGATTCAGCACTAAAAACTGAATACGAAACTGGTCGCAGAACGTTTCTAGGGTCAAAAGCTTATCCTTGAAAAATCTCGCAATTTGCAAGGCCCAAAAATCGAACCCGATTTTGAAAACCTAACACAGGTTTTTCTAAAGGTCTTAAAGCCAAAATTTTCCATGGTTCGATTCGCCAGATTCTCCTTTTCAAAAGTTTTTTCCTCGCTGAGAAAAGTCGACTTTACTGGAAAAGACCGAAATTCTGACCCTAATTCGCCATTTTCTCCACCAGAACTCGACTTTCACGCAATGAAAATATCATATTGTAATCGGCGTCAAAACTCTGGTCGAATGATGTACTTTTTTATCTTGTTCGATCGCTTTGATTGTTTTTTGAATTATATCATCCAAGAATTACTGACATTTTCATGAAAAAATGAAAATCAACGAAAAGTTTTGAAGTATATATATTATCATTCAACTAGAGTTTTGACGCCGATTACAATATGATATTTTCATTGCGTGAAAGTCGAGTTCTGGTGGAGAAAATGACGAATTAGGGTCAGAATTTCGGTCTTTTCCAGTTAAGTCGACTTTTCTCAGAGAAGAAAAAAATTCAAAACTTTTGTGATATCTGTCGGCTATTTCGAGTTTTTCGACCCGAAAAAAATTTCCAAAAAGAACGAAGAACACATATTCGTGATCAGCTCGATGCCCTCTATCAAATGGGGATAAAAAGCTGAAAATAAATTGCATGGAAAATCTGCTTTCTGAGCATCTTACAATGTCTTAAGTAATAATTTTCACTCGACCGCACATAATAAGGACAAAAAATAGGGGCGAGATTTTCATTACACGCTGCTCACCATTTTAGAATCTTGTATACGTTCTTTGGCTTTGCACTTTAAAAGATAGTTTTTCTCACGAGTAGAAATAAAACGATTTGTTATGGGAGCATCCGATGAAAGTAAAAACCAAATAACGGACCAAATTACACCAAGTC